CATTTTGAAGGCTCAGGAAACCTTTGCAGGTGTTTTGAGTTGATTAGCTGATTGGCATGTCACCATATTCTAATTAGTTGAGATAGTGAATTGGTGGGTTTTTGTTAAATGTGAGCCAAAATCATCACAATTACAAGAACCAAAGACTTAAACTACTTCAGTCTGTGTGTATTGAATTTATTTAATACACGAGTTTCACAATTTGAGTTGAATTACTGAAATAAATGAACTTTTCCACAACATTCTAATTTATTGAGATGCACCTGTAGTTGGCACATCAGTTTTCTTTCTGCTGTGTGCAGGGTTGCCAGGTTTTCACAACAAAGCCCGCCCAAACGCATTCCGGGGGGCTAAATACAAATTTTTGGTAGGGTTCCCCTGGTAAAATTAGCACTCTAGGGGCTAAATATCGCGTTATTGGGGTCGGACATGATAAACAACCTGCAGCAACAGTGTTAAAGTAGCCCAGACAGCTCCGTGGGAATACTGCGGACTTGGCAACACTGGTCTTTTCGCTCACACACTAACAAACAGCCAATCACAATCCAGAATCCAAAACAGATGTGAGAAAGCCAGCCAATTGGAATTTATATGTAAATATACTCCGGTACTTTGAATAGACGTGATGTAAGGTGATTTTCTATTTTTTTTCTTCTTCATATAATATAAATATAAATATACTTCATATATTTATGTTCAGTTCTTTCACTTTAATAGCATAGAAAAGTACCTATACATTGCCATTAAATTAAAATGACTGAACCTAAATATAGGAGCCTGATAAAAATGATAATTTCAGAAGAAAAAATTTCAGACGGCACTTAGAGGCTTTTTTCATCTGAACTCTTCAATTGTTCATTTGTGATCCACCTTATTAGTAGCTTGTGCCTGCGATTGTTGATCAGTTAGTACACTGCAAGAAAAATGTCTAGAACATTTACTAGTCATTTTCCAGGACATTATCCATACAATGCATAATTTAAAATGCAGGTAAAAAAACTGAAAAATAAATACGGAAAATTCCTTCATATTAATAAATAGACTGTGCCCTATTTTTACAGATATTTTCTTAGAATGCAGCATAATAACTAACTGCTAATACACTGCTTAAAACTATAATGGTTCAGAATGTGTAGTTTACTAGCTACAAAAAAACAACAACTTTAATTGTAGGCCCTAATTGTTCAAAAATGTGTAAGTGTTCAATAATTCAATGTTGTATTTAAAAAATACAGTTAATATTATATGGTGTTATGTTATATTTTACAAACACGTCTAAATGAACACACACAAAATATTTTCTTAATATTCTATGCAATTTTTAGCAACAAATTGACCTTCCCTTAGCAACTTCCCCTGAAAATTAATTGGCAACACTGTTTGAAAGCACAATAATAATAACATTTGTCACGTGGTGCGTGCTACCTCTCTCTGCGTGCAAACACAGTTTCTGTGGTGAGCTGTTGTATGAAGGGTTCGGCTTTCTGAGCCGCTGTGTGTGCGCCCCCTGGAGGAAGAGGCCGGTCATACACAGCAGGCAGCCGCTCACGCTCGACAACAGCACCGCCATGTCCGGCGGCGGGGACGCTGAAGTCTCCCGCGGTATAGAGCTCAGCGAGAAGTAGGGCAACCTGCAACATCGCCGAGACGCACGCACTCAGACTCCAACAACGTAAAACGACATAAATTCAACCCATTCGTGTCCAATGCGTGTCCCCTGCGCCGCTCTCATGTGTTCCGGTCCCGGTCCGGGCTGACATTCAGACGAGTCAGGATTTTGCCTATTTTTCCACTGTTTGCATTTGCTACTTTACATGAGTAACACGCAAAACAGGTAATTGTTAACGTTTATTTGGAGCAGCGCAGCAAGGCTGTTGTTGGTTTGATCTAACTAGATCACTCTCTGTGACTAAATGCATGAGTGCAGTGTGTTTATTGGGTTAATGAAGTGTTTGTTCATGCGTGATATCTCATGCATGGCACTTCAGTTGCTTATATTAATTGAAAGCATTGGTTGCTGGTTAGTCTCGAGTATAACGTACATGGAATTTGTTTATAATTGCATTAAAGCAGTTTTAACTCGTTTTCAGGAAAGTTCAAAAGCCATTTAAACGTGATAAACGTAGCAAACCCTGTAAAATAAACTTGTTTTAGGATGCATGTTTGCATCTGCCACTGTGTATACCTCTAATACTTCACAGCTCTCTCAGGCCCCCAAGAATGAAAAGGTTGAGCAGAGAGTGCGAGGGGCCGGCGGACTCCTGCAAGAGGGCCAGACAGCCCGCCGAGGACCCTGGAGATCTGCTGTCCAACTGGGCTCGACTGCCACAGGAGATCCTGCTTCACATCTTCCAGTACCTGCCTCTCCTCGATCGCGCCTTCGCCTCGCTGGTCTGCCGCGGCTGGAATCAGGCCTTCCACATGCCCGAGCTGTGGAGGTGCTTTGAGTTTGAGCTCAACCAGCCTGCCAGCTCTTACCTGAAGGCCACTCATCCTGACCTAATAAAGCAAATCATCAAGAGGCACTCCAATCATTTACAGTACGTCAGCTTCAAGGTGAGAGGCTCAGCGGGAAGCTGACAGTTACCAGCTGGCTCCACATTACAGCTCTCAAATCATGCCGAACTTAAAGGGACAGCTCACCCAGAAATAAAATTTCTGGCAAAATGTACTGACTCAAATCATGTCGTTTCAAACCTGTATGACTTTCTCTTTTTTAGGGATGCACGATATATCGGCCACCATATCGATATCTGCTCATTTTTTCTGTTATCGGTATCGGCCTGATAAGAAAATTTGGCCGATATCTTAAAGCCGATAAATAATGCATTATTTCCTTCAGAGACACTTCAGATGCGCGCTGTTCGTTTGCAGCCTTTTGTGCAATTGTACGTTGTAATATTGTGTTTATTTGATGTATATCTGATTTATCTCATATAGAATGCGTTTGGTTAAGTTAAAAGAGCGCTTCAGTTTACCGGTGATCGTCTTTAGCTCAGCGCACGCAGCTCAAACAGCAGTGCACAACATTAATAACTATGATTGGGAATGTCGTGTATATAACATTCTAATGAGAACATTATTATAATAAAACGTTGTGAATTCTTTGGGTTTAGTTGCCGTGTTTCAGCGCGTTGTTATGGGAAGAGCGCATCCACAACAGGATCACACATTCTGACTATAGCATGCAATAACTGCGTCATTTGTCATTTCATATATAAGTTGTAATATTATGTTTATGTTGTATTAATATTAATCTCAGGATGCATTTCCTTGAGTTAAATAAGCTGCCAGCAAAACGCTTCAGTTTACCGTGTTCATTCAGCTCTTCAGCTTCAGCACGTGCAGCTCAATGGCTGCTATTTAAAACAGTGGTATTAATTTGTTACTTTTTCAAAATCATTGATATATTATTAATAACAACAACCACTTGTATTTTTCTCTTATTATTTTCATCAACAATATGGTTTAGTAATTAAAATCATTTAATTATTGTCCGTGCAGAGGCTATTCTGTTTTATTGATCTGTGGCGTATTCATTTTGATTCTTTACATGTGTAATGATGTCCAGTGACTTGTTTGCATTATTTATGCATTATTTTATTTATTTGTAAGACTTTTTTATGACTAAATTTGGTAATGGGAGAGTAAAAATATTTTTAAAACGTACACCGTTCAAACTAGGCTGCTTATGTTGAAGTGTTTGGGATGTGGCTTTTAATGATGAGACCTTTTTTGTAATCAGGCTCTCAAAAAGTATATAACAATTTGGATATAGATTTATCGGCCAACATATCGGTTATCGGCTTTCAAAAATAAAGAATAATCGGTTATCGGTATCGGCCAAAATTTTCATATCGGTGCATCCCTAGTTCACATGACTCTTTGGAGCAGCAGTGGTACAAATGTCTTGGCGATAGAGCTGCTTGTTTGGGGGGTATTTGTTGTGTGAATATAATATGCATGTATGCTAATGCAGCAGTTTATATTCTTACACTCAGCGACATTCATCTATTTGGTTGTATTGGCCATTTCTGTGTCTCCTGCTTTGTTGGGGGGTTGTCTCATTTGTTATATTTGCAGCAGCAGTATTTCTTACATGCTCACAGCAGCATGTCATGGATGTACGTAGCAGATCTATTCCACCAAGACCAAACAAATTAACACACATACATACATACATACATATCTCAGTAGTCAACATTTGAAGTGGATCAAAAAAGTTCATCAAAGTTGTCCTAAGACAAGAACGGGGATTGTTTTGGTTTTAGGACAACTTTGATGAAAGGTTTTGATCCACTTCAAATGTTGACTACTGAGATGTATATATTTATATGTATGTGTGTTAATTTGTTTGGTCTTGGTGGAATAGATCTGCTACGTACATCCATGACATGCTGCTGTGAGCATGTAAGAAATACTGCTGCTGCAAATATAACAAATGAGACAACCCCCCAACAAAGCAGGAGACACAGAAATGGCCAATACAACCAAATAGATGAATGTCGCTGAGTGTAAGAATATAAACTGCTGCATTAGCATACATGCATATTATATTCACACAACAAATACCCCCCAAACAAGCAGCTCTATCGCCAAGACATTTGTACCACTGCTGCTCCAAAGAGTCATGTGAACTAGGGATGCACCGATATGAAAATTTTGGCCGATACCGATAACAGAAAAAATGAGCCGATATGGGCCGATACCGATATGGTGGCCGATATATCGTGCATCCCTAATGTGAACCACATGTATTACTATCTATGTGTGGCTACGTTACCATGCCGACCGGCTTAACTCTAGTGTGTTAACGATATATGCTGCAAGCTGATGAGAGAAGACCCCAGCATCCACCTGAGCAAAATATATTAAAGTCATTTGATAACTGTCATTGATATAATTTTTATACTCTTATTGTGTCATTAGGACGATAAAGAGAGCGTGACTCAAGACTTGGTGTGCAGCTGAATCAGCCGCACACTCAGCACAGCTACGGAAAACATCGACCTAAGAAATAAGCAAACGTGAACACTGAGGTTAAGCAGCTAATATGGCAAACCGCGGTTGAAATGCATACAAACGGGAATGCTCATCTCATTTTAGCCTGTTCTCATGTGCTTAACTTGACAGCATGTCCTCAGAACAATTACAGACTGCTTGCTGCTGCAGCTGTATAAACACAGATACGTAAATGCTACTGCTTATACTTAATATTTCTCTCCTGCATAAGAATGAAAGACTGTTAAACATGACACTTAGTTTAAACTTGTTTATGGTTGCTCATTTAGAATTGATTAGGCAGACCACGCAATATGCACAGTGACATGCGTAAAAGAGTATTCACTTATCTTAGATGTTGGTTTCAGATGCTTTCGGAAGCGCGCTGCAACTGCTACAGCGAGCACTAGCCGAGTATTTGAATGTTTGAGCAGCAAGCTCATTGGCTGCTGATACAAAAAGAACCAATCAGCTGCGCCACGTGAATAATGACGTCATTATACAGATTGAGTTACAACCGAACGGCCTGCGCAATCTAGAATTTCATGACAGAACTTTGCGTGTCCATATGTATATATATTGATGGGTTTTCATGGGTTTCATGTGTGAGTGCGTCTATGGTTCATGTCTTACTTTAACAGATATGCAGCCAGAATGTGTAAGAGATAAAGACTGATATACTGCAGCTGACGCAGGATTTCCTCCTAAAAACATAAAAAAACAATGCTTTCATTATATAGCAACACAATTCTATCATTATATAGATTAATTACTATGTATATACACATCTATCTCTCTCCCTGCATCAATGTTTACGTTTTCCTCTCATCTTCTCTTACCTTTCTCACTTTCTGGAAGTAAAGCTCAGGTAGTGCGTGAAACCAGTACGCCAGCTGTGTGAGGTAGAAGAACTTCACCTGAAACCTGACAGAAAGATGATATTACAGTCACATGACAATCTGACAGAACCATTCACAATCAAATCAACCACCAACACTGGCCTACTTAAGAGTTTCCAGGTTTTATTTGTCATGTTATATTCAGCATGTTATATATAGTGTTTGCATTGAGTTGCAAACATCCACGAGACAATCTCACAAAAAAAACTAAAGTTACTCAAAAATAATTATAAAAAAAAAAGTTACAAATAATAATAATAATAATAATATCAATAAAAAATTAAAATCATAAGTTTTATTTGTCATGTTATATTCAGCATGTTATATATAGTGTTTGCATTGAGTTGCAAACATCCACGAGACAATCTCACAAAAAAAACAAAAGTTACTCAAAAATAATTATAAAAAAAAAAGTTACAAATAATAATAATAATAATAATAATAATAATAATAATATCAATAAAAAATTAAAATCATAAAATTAAACATTTATTATTCTGCATAAATTAAATGTTTTTAAGACCATTCATACATTTTGCATAACTTTAACCCAATGTTCATGGTTTAAAAAAAAATTCAAATGTCCAAACTAAGCTTTTTATTAATTAAAATCTGCATAAATCCTATTCAACAAAACAACTGGAAAAAGAGGTAATTTACAATTTATACACACATTTACGATGACAATTTGGAGGTGAAATGTGACCAAAATAATTTCAATATGCAAAAATTGGTCATTTTCTTAATGCGAACTATCGATTTTTCTTTTGATTTTTGGATGAAATAAGAAGTTGTTCGTGACAGTTTTCATGAGATGCATGCTTTGTGTTTGTGCGTGTATGTACCTCAGGTGAACATGAGGATAATTCTCCCAAAGGCTGCTGGGATGCAGAAGGTATCCCTCCTGCCAATCACACAAATGATTATGCGACTTAAACAGAAAGTGTAATGTTTAATATGTTGTGTGTGAGATCTTACTGTGGCCATGACGTAGAGACTCCATAAACTGGACACCAGATAAAACACACACAGCTGCCCAGATTCATTAAACTTTGTGTTTTTACTCTTTGACAAGTGAAGACGCCGGTTTACTTTCTGAAATGGAGCACACAACAGCCAAGAAAATGCAAATTAATAAAAAACGTGGTATGCACATTAATGAACTTCAGCCGCTGCTTGCAAAAAATGCATTTATTAAATTAAAACTGCATTACCCAAAATGCATTGCAGCACTTACATCTAGCACATACTCCTGCACCACTGCGTGAAGGATGATGGTGATACAAAGATAGAAGACGACAGTGGCACAGTCTTTCCATCCGTAAAGATACAGAGTCACCTCTCCATCTGAAACACACACACACACACACACACACACGTTAGCTCATGTCAGTGATGTATCAGACATCAGCAGATCTGAGAGACTGTCATGAATGCGTGACAAACCTGCACTCATGGTACTGATGTTATACTGAGGCTGGATGAATAAAATGGCTGTTTTCGCTGTTGTCTGAAAGAGAGAAGAGAGAGAGCGAGAAAGAGAGATTGTTCACTGAATAAAAATCAGCTTTCCTGCACAATGATAAGAAAAACACAGACACACACGCATAGATCACACGATCTATAATCATGTGCTTTCATACAGTTACAGCTGTATTTAGATAAGTATTAGACAGCTGCGTTTAGATGTATTACTCTTTTTCTTAAAACACTTAAAAACATTGTTAGAGACCTCCTGATCATGTATTTTAATTAAAAGAAAGACGACAATTAAATACAAAGACTCAACAAACCAGGGTTATTACAGCTAACCAAAACTTTTTTTTTTTTATAAATAAAATAAACATTAACTGAAATAAAATTAGTTGCCAAGGGAATATTTCATGTTTTCATTTAGTTTAAATAACTAAAACGAAAATGTATAAAAACTACACAGACGTAAAAAAAAAAAAAGAAGAAAAGCATACAACTAAATTACTAAAACTTTAAAAATAAAAACAGAAAATATAAAGATAAAAACTAATTCAAAATCAATTTAATAATCCTTTCATTTAATAACTATCATATATCTATAATAGTCTCCATGATACTAAAGATAACATGCAACTAACAGGGGGGAAATAATATAATAATATTGAAAGAAAAGTTGGATGCATTAAAAACAATTTTAATACATACACACACACATACATATATATACACACACACACACACATACATATACATATATATATACACATATATACATATACATATATACACACACACATATATATATAGCATATACACACACACACACACAT